AAGCCGTGTCTTATCAGCACAGCGGAACATCTAGGGCTCTTAAACTTATTTTTATTATTACGCTTTTCTGTATTAAAACCCTAAACTAGACACAGGTGCACCACAGAGCGCGGCTGGCACTTTATTAGAATTCCAGGCTTATGAAAGAACACATTAAGTATGCCATGGGATGGCTGCAGCCTTGGTTCATTGTGTTTTTATCATTGCGAATTAGTTTTATGAAAAGGAAATAGAGAAAATCTCGCATAATGCTGGTCTAGATTTTTTTTTTTTTGCAATTATAGATGCTGAACAATTACCATTCTTTACTTACCCTGAAATCACATCACTGCAAGAGGACTTTTCAAACAAACAACATATCTATTTAAAATGAAGAATTTGGGGAAACGAATGAGAGAAATCTGGACAATCCCAACACTGAGCTGTGTGAAGGAAATTTAAAACCACCCCTAGTGTGTATTTCAGCCATTTGAAGAAGAAGAGGGACAGGAAAGAACTCTAAAGAAGGTTATTCCCATTACATTTTAGGTATTGTTAGAGCTCATCCTAGGTCCTGCTTCTCATCCATAAGAAAAACTCCTCTTGTTAAGGTTCAGCCCATCTTTGCTCACACATGCTGGAGGGGGCAAAGAAGCCCTCTTCAAGGACTTGTGCTGAGGATGACACATACAACCTCCCCCCCACATTCTTCATTACCTGGAAGTCAATTGGACCTTCACCCATTTAATGTAAAGGTGTGAAATAGAGACAGTAAATGCATTCAGTTGAATGTCTTTTCAGACCTCAAGTCATTATCTTATCAGGGTCCCAATAACAGGAGCCCTGAAAGCATTTGAACCAAAGGTGCATACACTGAATTTGGCCAGTGAGGGAGGTAAAATTCAATTTCTGTCTGTTTTTTGGAGAATTTACCCAAATGTTCAAATCTCAGATTCAGCATGAGGTTTTAAAAAAAAATAGTGCAAGAGAAAGAGACTCTTCAGAATTACATTAAGATTCTGTCTCCTCATTTCTAGTCGGCACTGAAGACTTAGTCCAACAGCTTCAATGACGCAGCTCATGAGGAAAATGTCTCCTCAGAAAAGAGGGTGGTGACCAAATGCGGCCTTCAGGAGGTTTCTTGTCTACGACTTCCATCAACGTTAGCCATTATGACTACCGATGGGAGCTGCAGTTCAGAAACATAGGGTGGGCTACAGCTGCTCATTCTTGCCTTAAAAGTTGACGCCACATAAAGAAGAAGAATTATGGGCCATCAAGTCAATTCTGACTTATGGGAAGCTTTTTCAGGGTCTTCCAGGCAGAGTGTTTTTTCATTCCGTTCTTCTGGGGGCACCCTGGGAGTGTGCAAAATGCCCAAGGTCACACAGGCTGGCTCTTCTCCCTGGTGGCCCAGTGGGGGAATCAAACTCCCAACCTCTGGCTGTGTACCCAGATACCTCAACCACTGAGCTATCCACCCAGCTGAACAAGGAACACAGGAGCTGTACAAAAAATAGGGTGATTTAAGGCAGTGCGTAAGGACATCTACCACCAGTGATGGGCAAGAAAGAGTTCTACTAGTGAAAAAGGAGCTGATGTAGCTTTCTAAATGAGCTCGCACAGGAAACGTACGAGAAAATACCATCTGTAATTTATGCCGGCTTGACGTAGAGGCCTCTCAAACTGTTATGGGCTTCCATATTTTCAAATCTGTTGGCAGTATCAGCAATTTGGAAAGTTCAAAAATGGCACTGGGCTCTTTAAAAAGATGTTACATAATACTTCTTGGTTGGCGTTAGAATTTGTCCAGTCCAAATGGATTTCCCTTGTCCCAGTCTCCCGCCTAACTTCAAGGTTCTGAAACAAATTCCTATTTTGAATTTATGCTTCTATCAGCTAGTCTTCCTTTATTGGCTTCCCCCTTATTTGGAATAAGAACTTATATCATTAGGACATTGAACTCTCCAGAGACATTTACATCAAAATTTACAACTTTCCATAGATGGGATGTCTAGTTTATTTACCGATGCATGTTAATGCATCAACAACTTGAACATATGCCTATCCATCTTTTGAGGAGACAGGTACAAAAGTTTTGCTGAAGATGCTTATGAGCATCTCATAGAATAATGGAGTTATTCATTGACTTCAGCTCCCTGCTCAGTCTCAAACAACCCAAGCCCTCTTTGCCTCAGTATTTAGTGGCTCTGGGCAAGCGATTGACTTGCAGCCTCTGTTCCCCAGGAAAAGAAGGTCCAACCTTACAGGGTTAGATTTTTTAAAATGTTCCCCTCCCCCCCAAAAAAAAGTTTTGGAGATAAAGGACAACTATTAAATTGCCACAGAGACCAGAAACAGAAAGGGATATGAATGTAGTAGTTGTAGGCATCCTTCAGTCTCAAGAGACTATGGTCACGTGCTCTTTATGGAGGACTTGGAACAGCCTCTAGTGTGCATGAAAAGGCTAATTCAAGTGTGACAATCCCTTCCACACTGAAGACAAATCCAGTCTGTTCCAGTCCAGCTCCCAGATTTTGCTGCTTTCGGGACTGCCTCTTTGCCTCGGCCTGCTGGACAAGGGTCTCTTCAAATTGGGAGAGTAAATATATATCTGGCTGTAAATATATGAATTTACAGCCAGACTATCAAAACCATGAATTTTCACATCAAAGACAGTTTGCCAACCTCTCATTAAGTCCCTTATTTTTTGACTCTAGAATAAGGGAAGTTGTCAAGTGCTTAGCTGGCCAGAACACATGGCTGGAAAACTGAATTAGAACTGGGGGACTGGAGCCTCCACTCAGCTAATGACCAGATGATAGTGACTTGTTCAAAGCTTCCCAGACCGATCTGTTGCTCAGTTCTTATATGGTAAAACACTAAGGTGGTTAAGGGGAAACAAATAAAACATAAAAACCTAAGAAGAGCCCTGCTGGACCAGGGCAAGGTCTCCTCTAGTCCAGCTTCCTGTATCTCCCAGTGGCTCCACCAGATGCCTCTGGGAGCACACGAGACAATGGGAGACCCATCTCCTGATCCCCCTCCCCTGCATCTGGCCTTTGGAGTTACCTCCAACAATTATTTCACTTAGGGATTGCATCACATGTCAGAATGGTTGGTTTGGGTATACCAGTGAGCCCCACAAAACTCTAATTGGTTCCAACTGAGGAAGAATCTAAACTCACTGCAGATTCTTTGCCGGTTCCATTTTCACATATCTACCTCCATAGTTGTTGCCACAAGACTTTGACTGTAGAGCTCTCGGTTGGAGCTTTGATCCTACTGTCATGGTTTTGGAAACTCTGAAACCACGTGGGTAACATAGTTCCCACAACTTTTGAACCTCTACTAGGGATGTGCATTTTGGACCTGTTCAACTCCAGGCTCCCATTTCTTTCCTTTCTAGGAGTTCCACCTGCAGGACTCAGATCTGATAGATAACTAGCTTGTACTCACCTAGAAAGAAGGCCCAGCTAGCAGGACTTATATCTCAGGTAGATCTGACTTTTTCTTTGAAAAAGGAAGCTGCAGCCATGGTTGCTGGGAAGTTTCCCTTTCAGACAGGAAGTCAGGCCTGTCCCAAAGGATGAAGCCCTGCCAGTTGGGCTTTCTTTCCTGGTGAGTACAATTTAATTGTCAGGATGCACCGGATCCTTCAGATGGAGCTCCCTGAAAGGAGAATTCTGGGATTTGTAATCCCCAAAATCTAAAATGCACATTTCTAGCATTTACCAGGCACATCCAGAGAATTACATTTCCAAAGACCCTTGATGTTTTAAATGTGCTGAGGCAACACCAGAAGGCATAAGAGAGGTTGCATTTTGTACCTCCATAGTAAAAACCCACCCTTCTCACTGCTGTCTGGCAGACCTTGGAAAAGTTACTTTTTGGAAGTAATGTTTCCAAGAAACTGCTAGGAAATATGATTAGTGTAGTCCGAAAATGTAATTTTTCCAAGTTCTGCTCCTATATACTAGAAGATGCACACATGAGTCCAGAATATAGATGGGCATAAACTGGTTCATCCTGGTTTGTAAAGGCACAGCTGCTGCTACTTCCCTCCCCAACCTCCTCTGACTTTCCAGGCCCGGCGTGCCAGCTTCCTGCACCTCCTCAACTGATCTGCCGGTCCTGGCAAGAGCTCAGGCTTCTCTGGCTCCGCCCTCTTGGCTGATCTCCCAATCAGAGGAAAGGGCGGGGCAGGGAAGTCCATGCTCTTGCCCATGACTGGGAGATCAGCCAAAGAAGTGGGAAAAGCAAGCAAGCTGTGCCTGGTGAGTGACTGATCGAGCCAGGGCAGGGGGGAGCAGCAGCACCTGTGCTGCCACCTTTACGAATTGGGACAAACTGGTTTGTGCCCATATCTAATCCAGAACAGCCATAAACCTGAGAATTGTTGGGAAGTAATGGGATGAAGGCAGGAAGAAGTAAAGAGGACATGTATCTGGATCAGTGCGTACGCATGATGCCAAAGGTACAGCAATTATGTCTTGTTTCTGTCTCATTTGCTCTAAACAACTGGCAGTTGCTTCAGAAGCAGGAGGATAAGGTCTGCACTGCCACTTTCAGGTCAGATCAGAGCTCTGTGCAAATTGGGATCAAGGTCTTTGGACGATGGACGCATCCTCCCATATGAGCCTTCCTGAGCTTTAAGATCCTTGTGTGAAGCCCTTTGCCTGATCTGGTGTCCCCTGGAGGCCCACCTGTTGAGGGATGCAAGAGAGGGGCTGCTCCCAAAATCTGGGTCTTCTTCTTGTGGCAGACTAGAAGTGTGTCTCCCCCTCTCGTGTCTTTTTGCCAGTCACGGCTTCACCATGAAAGAGGATGGCTTGCTTTGATGCTGCTCCACCACATGTTTTAATTTACTGGATTTTATGTGGATTTTAATCTGGTCATGTCAGTCCTATGATCTGCTCTTAGGACCCTTTTTGGGGTGGAAAGGCAGGGTTTACGAATGAATGTGCCACAGGGGTCAGAGGTGAACATAAATTATGCCCCCCCCGGGCATCCACACTCACCTGTTTCAGAAAGCAACTTCGTCGCTTCTAGCACTTTCTCTGTGTAAACGCCGGCTTCGTAGTTTTCCATCTCAGCGTTAATGATATGGATGACTCTGGCCGCGCGGCCTCGGATCGCCCCGGCGGTTCTGTCCAATGTATCTACGTCTCCCTCTTGAAGTGCAATCACACACTTATTGACATCCTCCAGAATATGGTTTTCTGTGGGAAAAATATATATATATCTCATGGTTGCTATTCACCAGTGTAGTTTTTTTTAAAAAAGGGGCTGAATCCTTCACAGGTAATCTTTACAGCTGCCCTGTTACATGGGGGAGAACAACTCCAATTTACAGAGAAAAGCAGTAGCAAAAATCATAGACAGAAATGTTCCAGAGACACTGAGGTAATCCTTATTTGAGCCTGGTTTCAATCCAGGTTGCGATCAACCCGCTATATGTCTCAGCAGTTGAGATGCAGGCTAGTAGAACCTTGGAATTCCCACAGCATTTTTTCTTGTGAGGAAAACATGAGGAAGGAAGCTAACAGGGCCTTTTGATGAGGGGAATTGTTCTCCAAAACAAAGTAACTTTTTCAAATTCCTCTGCAAAGCACGCGTCCTACACCCCAGGCTCACATGTACATTCTGCTAAGAGTAGCTGGTTACCATGGGAGTGCTAGTTACCATGACACCCTCCCAAAACACAGCCCCAGCCTTCATTATTAAGATCGATGCTATAGATCCACCCTAAAGAAAAGAGAACCCTATTCTTGGTGGAAATTATGCCTTTGAATGTACTTATTTTGCATAAATCTCCTCAATTTGAGCCTCTACAGTATTTCCGGATGTTCTCTCCATCAACAAACATGACGAGAACAATGGTTGCAATAATGACGATGCCGTTGTCTGACCCCTGCACCAAAAGACCAAATCATATCAATGTTGATCGTCAAAGAGAGATTATAACAGACAGCGAGGAAAGAAATGTTAAAGGAGTCGGTTTAATGAGAGGATAATGAACAGATGAAGACAGACACAGTTGTAGTCTCAAGTTGCAGAAGCTAGCTTTAGGAATTGGCCATAGTTCCTTGAACTGGACAGTCTCAGTGAAGTAGTGTTTTTGTCTCTTCCCTGAATTAGTGGAGGAAGATATGGACCTTATTTTGAGGATTCACACATTTCCAAAGCTTTATGAAGCACTTCAGAGAAATAAGGTACAGGGGGAAAAATTATGAAGACATTTTGAAATGCAAGTGGCTAATACATGAGGGACTTTCCCGAACGGACATGTTTACTTACAAGTTTAATGTCATTTACACATTTTCCATCCGTTGATTAAAATGTGTTTTTCTACAATTTTTTTCCCAACTGTATGCCCTGAGCGTGTTTTTTTAAAAACACATTTTTGCATAAATCTGCAGTTTCTTCACCACTGGAAGGCTTTGTCAATGGCAGCCATGCCTTTTCAACCCCCTTTTTGGTACTTGTGAAGACAAAACATTAAAATCTGTTTGTCTACACTTTCCCCCCCAATTGTATGCCCTGAACATATTTTAATCAGTGGATGGAAGGTGTGTAAATGATATTAACCATGTAAGTAACGATGCCTATCAGGAAAATGTGTCCACGGTGTAGTTGGAAATGTGTGCACATTTCCTAAAGATAAGTGCAAATGCTACAGAAATGTGTACAAAGTTCTCAAAAATGTATCCAAATTTTAACTCTGGGAAAAAAACCAAGGCAATATAAAATGAGCACGATGAAAATGCAGGCCAGATGCAGGGAAATATAATAGAGCCATTGCTCTGAGCTTTTCAGCTCACTCGGTTGGTTTACAGCAGTCACTTTTTACCTCTGACACAGGGGCGTACAGCCATTCAGAAATACAAATTAAAATCCCTCACCACTGGAAGGCTTTGTAGATGGCAGCTATGACTTTCCAACTACTGTACTTGCGAAGACAAAACATTTCTTTTTCATTAAAAAGGAGCCCATTGAACATCCCACACAAGATGAGCTGGCTGGGGAGTACCTACATTTGGAATGACGTAACGGGAATAGACCCTGATGATGGGAAAGCATGAAGGCAAGAGGAGAAGGGGACATCAGAGGACGAGATGGATGGTCATCGAAGCGACCAACATGAATCTGACCCATCTCCGGGAGGCAGTGGAAGACAGGAGGGCCTGGCATGCTCTGGTCCATGGGGTCACGAAGAGTCAGGCATGACTTAACGACTAAACAACAACAAACGGGAATAGGGGATGTTTCTCTACTATAGCTCTCGATGGTGCTCAGCTTGAGACTGGCCAGTAAGATCTAACCACTTGAAACCACTGTCTCTTCTCCTTGATCTGGATGGAGGTCTTCCAGATACTGAAGCGACCCCAGAGTTTCAGGTTTGATCTGCCATCATCTGTTGCATGTACAATTTACCATTTGACTTAAGAGGCACCATATTCTTTCCTCCTCGAATACCAAGTGAGATTTCAAATGGTTTGTACCCTTCGTAACAACCAATGTGAGGGAGAAGATACCACTGAGAAAAAAATGCTTTGGGGAAAGGACAGAATACAAGGGCAGTGGTGTAGAATTTATTATTATTATTATTTTAAACCAGAAAGGCTATTTCTCATCTGAATAAAAAGCAGAGGTTGCTGTTTCGCAGCAAAAGGATCTTATCCTATATTATTGTCTTCAAGACTGAAAGCTGAATAAGAGATGCTAGGTAGGAGCTCTTTCAGTGAGAAAGCTGATTTCAATTGATTGGATCATGAATTGCATCACTGTTATCAAGTGATCTCTCTGACAACTATAATCATTTCAGTGCACGTACTTAACGAAGACTGCCTGTGCTGTTCCCACGTACTCAGTACAGACTAGTACGGCACATCTCTTGCTATAATGATGAGCTGGGTGTCCATCTTCCCTTCGCAATGCACATGTAACAAGAGGGGATTCTACATTTGGCTTCCTGGTTCACATTATTTTTCCATGAAACAAGTAGAGATGAAGAGGAGAAGACTGCAAGCATCCACAGACAGTGTCCATGTTTTCCAAAGCATTATGCACCCCCTCTGTAAAATGTTGCCTCCACTTTACGCACGGAACAAAGCTGTGTTCCCCTCCCCCTATCTCTCCACAGAACCTCACACGGGAAGAAAACAATCTATTTCGTGCAGTAGTCTTACTCGGATATTAAAACTTGACTAGAAGTTTCCAATCAGAGGACTGAAAACCAAGCCCTAGGAGGAAAGACTGAAAGAACTGGGCATGATTAGCATTGAGAAAAGAAGACCGAGGGGAGATAGGATGTACGGTGGCACCTTGACCTGCGTTTGTCCCTACTAGCGAACGATTCGAGTTCTGAACGGCTCTGTTCGCAAAACGTTACTTCGATCTGCGAACGGAGCCTCGACATGCAAACCAAAAAAGGGGAAAAAACCCACCTTTCCTGCCTTTTTTTTTGACCTAAGTTCACCTTGAGCAGGGGGTTAGATGTGACAGCCTTACAGACCCTTCCAATGGCATTATTCTATGAGTCTATGACTACAGCACATTCTGTTCTCACTTCCTCTACAGGGAACATAACGTGTTTAATGGGGACAGCCTACTGTATGTATGGAGGTTTCCCATATGAATTAGAATCCTGATTTTCTGGGGCTCCCTCTTGCAGAGAAATACAAATAGCAGATCCCCTCCCAGATCCACCGCCCTCCACACCTGCGAGAATGACAGAACCGGAGGCTTCAGAGGAGGACGTTCTAACCGATGTACCTGAGACAGAGAGGAAATCGTCCACCGAAGTGATGTCGTCCACCGCCTCAGTGAGGACCCGCACCTGCTTCTCCCATTGGTCTTTGAAGACATCCATGTTGTCCTGGGCGACTTTGCTCTGTGGCCTGGCTGCTAACGTCAGGGCCGCATTTATTACCTAGGAAGCAGAACCAGTTCCTATTAGCAATGGCAAAAAGAGAGAAAGACCCTTTTCTCCAAAGAAAAGAACACACTGATTAAACACGACGTTAAAAGCACAGCTATGTGCTTTGATTGTTCTGTCCATTAAGTGAGGCTCGATATACCAATGGCATTTTCACTATTCAGGCAAGGCAATCAACAGCAGAATGGAAAGCGCAAAAACTCTAATCTTGTTGTCAGGCGTTTTTCCACTTTAAATATTGGGGATAAATAAGCAAAAATGTGAATGTATAGATGAATAAATATGGCTCACCTGTGGGCACAGGCTATCAATCTGGGTTGCTGCCATACGGACTAATTTTACACCCTCTTCGTTATTGGAAATTGAACACGCCAGATTGGCAACCTGCAATTAAAACCAGTGGGATAAAAATTGGATATGAAGGCAACAAGGATTTTTCCCTCTTAATCTTAATCTCTCTCTCTGTATGTGTTTTTCTCTCTCTTGAATAGAAACTTGCAAAGGTCTGCTAAGGATCACAGGTTGTTTTTCTTCCTCAGTCCTTTATAGATCTACATAACGAGCTTTGAAACATATAAATAAAGCATAACAAGAGAAAAGTATTTATCTGGAAGTAATGAAACAAAGGGAAAAAGATGCACAGGCACTGAAGTCCCACTGAGGAAAACAGAATATGCCATGAAACTACATCTTGACCCAGTAATTCTCCATTAGTCTTTATTTATTATGGAGGAAATGAATATTCCTTCCTTTCAATGTAGCTCTTGCACTAGTGGTTCTTCCACCTCAGTCAACTCTATGTTCATCGATACAGGAATTTTCTTTAATGAGCTTTTGCAAGATCCATACAAGTGATGTAGCTATATTGGTCATGTACTGCATTATCTGTAAGTATAGTACCCTGTTTCCCCCAAAATAAGACTTCACCTGAAAATAAGCCCTAGTAGGATTTTTCAGGATGCTCCTCATATAAGCCCTACCTTAAAAATAATCCCCACTTAAGTGAAACCCCACCCTCCACCCTTGTGCAGCAACCAGAAGAAGATGACATGACTGTAAAATAAAACATCCCCTGAAAATAAGCCCTAATGTGTTTTTTGGAGCAAAAATTAATCTAAGACCCTGTCTTATCTTTGGGGAAACATGGTAATTCCCAAAGCATGGAAAAGTAACTTCATCCTCATCAAGGTGCTATCAAGTCAATTCTGATTAATGGTAATTAGGAAGGGGACTTTGTGAGGTTACTCCGAACCTCTGGAATTCTGGAAGATTTAACCCACAGACCCATACCTACAGATACCTGCATTTTGCTCACCTGTAGCCAGGTCTAGTTTAGTTCTCTATAGCATTTAGGCCTCATTTCCTGTGCTAGTAATTTCTAGGAAGCAGCTGCTGTAACGATTCCTGGGCAGAGTAGTTTTTCAAGAGCACTCCATACAACCTAAAAGTCAACAACATTACCGCATCCAGGAAACACCACAGCAGTAAATAAGGCTGAGAATATTATACAGCCTTGGAGGACTAGGACTAGCTACAGGTGAGTGAAATACAGATCTCTATAAGTTTGGGACTATGAGGTAAAACTCCAAGAATTCTGGCTGGGGGATTCCTGGAATTGAAGTCCAAGAAGAAAGAAAGGAAGGAAGGAAGGAAGGTAGGAAGGAAGGTCCAAGAATTCTGGCTGGGGGATTCCTGGAAGTGAAGTCAAGGAAGGAAGGAAGGAAGGAAGGAACTGTTCTCAAAGCTTGCTAGGTATAAAGTACCCAGAAGTGGCATATCATTCCTGATCATTATGGTGCTCTGAGACTGTGCAGCTTACTCAAGGCTACACAGGCTGGCTTTTCTCCCAGGAAGAACAAAATGGGGAATGGAACTCCTCCCCTCTAGCTCTGAAACCAAACGCTCAACTCTCTGAGCTTTAGCAGTCATTAATGTGGGTTAGGGGAGACGTAATACATTCATAGGCAATATTCAAGCTTCTGTAAACCCTCTCCCCCCCCCCATCATGTTGCCTGCCAACTGTCGGTGCATTCCAGTGGCTCTCTAGAGACAGAATGTGAGCCCCATCCTCTGATTAGATGCAGTGCTCAGAAGGCAATGCGCAACAGTTAAGATGGCTGTTTTCTGTTTCCAAAAGACCCTCCCTCCAGGCAGTGTTGAACATCCTGTTTTATAGTTAGCGTCTCAGCTTCTTCTCCTTCTTTTGGTCTGCTTGCCATAGGCTGAGGGAATGAGAGTCACTACCATCAGGCAACCCATCTGTCTCACTCAGACTTCAGGATTAAGTATATTTATGTGAAATTATGGGATCATCACACAACCATTACGGATATATTAAAACACACAAGCACACCGATCAAGCAGACATTACACACGTGCAAACATCAACGGTTTCTTGTCAGTACGCCTTGGTGTACACAGTAATCATTGCACATACATAAAGAAGTCTTGGAAACTTTGAACAATCCCATCAAAGACAGAAATTCTGCAAACGGATTGCCTCTGAGTATTCACAAAAGCTCAGGAGCTCTTTTGGAATACTGAAAAGAATCCCTGTAGAGACCTCTCCCCTTGTAAACCCAGCTAAAGCAGGAGGAGTCCAAAAACCTTATATCTGTTTAAAAGGGGGAAGGGGCTTCTTGTGCAGGTCAGCTTATTCACAGCAGAAGCTGCTTTTAGGGCATGGGAATGACTTTCTCCAGAATGGAACCTCAGGGTAGGAGGGTGGCCTTTTTATCTCCCAGGGCCGGTGCCTTTTTTCCTGGGTTCAGCTTCTGAAATTAGCCCCTGAGCTTTACATACAGACTCAAGCAGGGATGTACAGTCTATTTCCGATCCACACCGTTTTGGCAGGCGGTTTATTCATGAGCCCATCCCTTTATTTCTGAACACCTTTTATTTTTAGATGAGAACGGCACCGCAAAAGTAAGCTGGCTACATAATGTTCTGATTCACACATTCATCTAAGACAGGGTGGTCAACTTCTTGACATGCTGCGCCTGCCTTCAGCCCCTGCCAGAACAGTAAATAAGGGAGGATTTTGGGGAGTTGCAGTCTAACCATATCCGGAGGCATACAGTTGCTCACTCCCGGTCAGTTCACATTAGCACTGAAAAAGGTTAAATTCCTCGAGCATCTGGTGAAAAGGGTGGACCAGACAGTGCTTGGAATATGCTCTGTCTGTGATGCTGCTCGCAACAAAATTAATTCTAACCCCATGCTTAGTGTGTTCTGTGGTGGCATCTGGCTGCGTTCATGCCAATGTCTCCTGCAAGTCATACAGTATTAGTGCCATACCTGATGCACATTGGTCTCCCAGTACGCAAGGTCTTGGGTCTCATCCATTCTCCACCTCTCAGGCTGTGAACCTAAGATCTCAAGGAATGAGATGCTGGCAACCTGGCAACCCTAGATTCACACACTGGCACCACTGAGTCTCCGCATGGTCTGTCTACACAAACTGTTTCGCCATTGTTACTGAAGACTGTCCCCTGTGAGATCACAAAGGCCTACTGCTACATCTTAAACCTTGGCCTTGAAATGCCACGGAATGCAATAGTTCTGCTCTGACAACCCAACCATAGGGGAAACATTTAACCAAACAAAACCATGGAAGAAGCATATTGGGTATGATAGGAAAATGTATTGTTGACATGCAAATGTCTCATCCTGTTCTCTTACCTTCTTCCTTGAATACATGTCTCCAGTTTCTGAATACGTACTCAGATTTCCCCTAAACATATGTTCCTCTTTTTTTTGCGCCTACTGTCATGCGTGGCAATTCATTATACAACATAAATGGCTCTCGGAAAAAAAGTTTCCCAAAACATTTTCTATATATGGACTATATCTCCCCATATGAGCCTTCTCGGCTCAGAAGAAGCCCTTCTCTTGGCCCCATTGTCATTATAAGTATGCTTGATTATAGGTATGAGAGAGGGCTTTCTCTGTAGTATCTTCCAGGCAGCAGAAGGCTTTCCCTCAGGTGAGAACATTGGCCACCTCCCTTTTATCCCTCCAACAACATCTAAAGACCCACCTTTTCAGGCAGGCTTTTAATGAGTCCTGCATGCTGGTTTTTAGTTAAGTACTTTTTTTTAAAGATTCAAATGTTTTAATCATTCAATGAAGTTTAATTATGATGATGATTTATTTCATTTTTAATGTGCAATGTACAGCGGTGCCTCGCAAGACAAATGCCTCGCAGGACAAAAAACTCGCAAGACAAATGTTTTTGGCAATTGGGGGGGGGGTTGATGACTCGCAAGACAAATGTTCCTATGGCTGTGCTTCACAAGATGAATGTTTTCATTTTTTTTGTGTTCCTGCCTCATACTTGCTGATTTTTAAATGTTTTTCTATGATGTTTGAAAATTTAAAGGTTTTTTTACTGAAATTTTTGAAATCATCTGCACAATATGTATGGCTTTAAAGAGCACTTAATAAACCCTTTGTAAACCAAATTTGACTTTGTTCTGACTTTTTTTGCCCATAGGAAGGCATTAATTAGATTTCAGTGCATTCCTATGGGAAAACGCGTTTCGCAAGACGAATTGTTCACAAGACAACATTAACCAAGGAATGACTTAAATTTGTCTTGCGAGCCACCACTGTACTGTGTTTTTAATCCTACTTGTTTTAACCCCGTGAGCCACCACAAGTCCCCTCATCGGGAGAAAGACGGCCTGCAAACGTAACTAAACAAACAAACAAAAATAAATCCCTTCTCAAAGATACAGAACATCAGCCACTGAGCAAAGTTCAGACATTCGTGAAGCAGACTAAGCCTACCTCTTATTCTGTACACTTTTAATGCTAAAGACAAATGCTTGATGAAATTTGAAAAAAGGGGCTGAGGGAGGAATTTTTATAGAATAAAGCTTGATTTGACTGGGGATCTCTGCAGAGATTCTTGACTCCACATTCTGATTCTATTAAAACAAATAGGCGTTTAATAACTATTCTGCTTGAGTATTATTTATTGTGCCTACAGGAAAGCTACCAGTTGGAAATGATTCGTGAATAAGTTCAAATGTCCCCATTTCTCTTTGCCATTCCTTTGGTCTCCCCTTGTGGCAATAATCTGTTCAATGCACCACACCGTATAAGCTCTGATCCATCTGTTCAAGTACGCTCCCTCCCTCCGTCCCTCCCTCCCTCCCATCAGTTCACCCCACATTTCAATTCCTGTTATCAAGGACGTGGCTTGCATGCATCACTCTGTCAAACCCTATGGAAGCAACAACCACTCGAGGCGCCGAGAGAAGCCTTCTAGACATATCCCAGTCTCCCTCTTGATTGAAACATGAGGGATCGCATTTTTTATTTCAAGGGGAGACAAATGATTTGCCCTTTTCACTTAACAGCCTTGGAGCGCTTGCATC